AGCCTGCTTCTCCCTCTGCCTGTGTCTCTGTTTCTCTCTCTCTGTGTCTCTCATGAATAAATAAATAAAATCTTTAAAAAAAAAAAAAAAAAAGGAAAGCCCAGCACAAATAGCTGCAGAATGCCTTCTTTCTTGATACCACGCTACCCAAACTCTGTGACAAAGAACTTGAGAAACCAGTTTGAGGTGGTAGGACCAAACGCAGTGACCTCAGACAGCATAGCAAGTGTCTGATAGAGGAGCTGAGAGGAACAGGTAGGTCCACTGTGGTCTTTTCAAGGCTCTGAGGAACTGTGAGGGACCATGAGACAGGCCTTGCCCAGGAGGGTAGAAGGTAAAGGAAAGTGCAGGAGAGAAGGTTGGTAACTGGAAGGAAAAAACAGAGACTGAGGACATGTCTGTCATGTATCTGTCTCTCCTCCCCATTCAACCACTCAGGCGGCTGAACTCGCCATCAAATTTCTGCCTCCCCAACGCAGTCTGGAAGTAGTTCAAGCTGTGGGACCCCAGCTGATTGGAATTGGAAAGCATAGTGCAGTAAGTAGAGTGCTGGAACAGAAAAGAAATAGATTCCATGGGGAGGGCTGGAATGATGCCATCTACACCCAGGAGGGTATGTGAGGTAGGCCTCCTGGGAGGTGTGACCTGCACTTAGTTCTGTGGAATCACAGATTTCTCCAGGCTCTGATTTCCCACCATGCAGGCAGCAGAGCTCTATCTGAACCTGGACCTAGTCAAGGAGGCGATCGATGCTTTCATTGAGGGTGAGGAGTGGAACAAGGCTAAGCGTGTGGCCAAGGAGTTAGATCCCCGGTAAGCTCCTGACCCCTTCTCTCCAAGAAATTCTTCCCTTGCTTCTTTTTGTAAAGAGAAAGAGGAGGTTCTCATGGGAAGGGTGTGCATTTTGGGACCATGCAGTGCTAGATCTCTGCACATCTTCGCAGGTATGAAGACTATGTGGACCAGCATTATAAAGAGTTCCTCAAGAACCAGGGCAAAGTGGACTCGGTGAGACTTGCAGAGTTAATAAGAGGCAGAATGCATGAAGGCTCAAGGGATTCTCTCCCTCCTCTCTCCCCACTCATGTCATCTCTGTCCTCTTAACTCTCTTTTCCACTGATCCATAGCTGGTGGGTGTGGATGTGGTGGCTGCTTTGGACCTGTATGTGGAGCAGGGCCAGTGGGACAAGTGCATTGAAACAGCTACCAAGCAGGTACTGCTGTCCTCCTCCCATCCGTAGTTCTTCTGGATGTTTGCCCTTGGCTCCCCTTGACCCAGAGCTCTCTCTCTCTTACTTCCTCCAAAGCCCAACCCCAAAGATCCATACCCAGCATCATCAGAGAATCAGTCTTCGATCCTCTTGAAACTGGGGTTAGAGGCCTAGCTGGGCCTGACTTGCATAGGCCTTTGCCTCCTAAACAAATCCATGGCCTCAAGTTAACCACTCCACCCTCACTGCCTGGTCCTACTGATCCCAACCTTCCCATGCTTCTCCTCCATCCCCGGGACAGAACTACAAGATTCTGCACAAGTACGTGGCTTTGTATGCGACTCACCTGATCCGAGAAGGTGGCTATGGCCAGGCGCTGGCCCTGTATGTGCAGCATGGAGCCCCTGCTAACCCACAGGTACCAACCTGCTCCTTGGAGTGAATGTTTCCTCAAGGAAATTCTTACATTCTCCTGAAGAACCACCCATCCCCTCAGAAACTGTCTTCTCAAAGCATTCTTTTAGAGAGCATCAGGCCCAGAGACCCCCACTGACCTCTTCTGAAATGTACAGCCTCTACAGATTTATCATTTGAGGAAACCTTCAGCAACCTCCTCATGCTCTTAGCTCACACAAGGAACAGAGATGAATCCTGCACTCACCTCTAAGGTCTCATTAGCTTCCTTCAGAGACTAAACACTGCTCTCCTATCTGAGCATCTCAGCTCCCTGGAACATTGGCCCGTTAACACTGTGACTGCATTCGCATTCACACATTTGTCCACACGCAGAGCACCAATTGTAAGAAAGTTATTTTCTTACTCTTCTTTCTCTTCCCTAAAAATGATCAACACTTTCTCCATCATTGCCCCCTAGCCCCTCCACACACATACTGCTTGTTTCCTCTTTGGCCCCACATGTACTTTCTCTTCTAGTTATTCATTCTCACTCAGCTCTCCTTTCCCAACTACCCCTAGAACTTCAATATCTACAAAAGGATCTTCACCGACATGGTGAGCTCACCTGGGACCAACAGTGCTGAAGCCTATCACAACTGGGCTGATCTTCGGGATGTGCTCTTTAACTTGGTGAGAAAGTCAGGTCCACAACAGGGTGACAAGTCTACCCCACCTCTCCCTGTCCCTAGCTCTTCTCTCATGCACACAGATGGACTACACCTTTGTCTGTCCAGGTTGCCGGTAGCCGACCACCCTGTGGCTCTGGCTCTCCTCCAACTCTGACCCAGGCTGTGCTCTCTTCCTGCTCTAGTGTGAGAACCTGGTGAAGTCTAGTGAGGTCAACTCCCCAGCCCATGAGGAGTTTGAGACGATGCTTCTGATTGCTCATTACTATGCCACTCGCTCAGCGGCCCAGAGTGTCAAACAGCTGGTGAGATGGGAGGGGAGGAACACTCCGTCTTATGGACACATCTTCAAATGTATCAGGCTGAATGAATTCAAGTCCCAGATGCTCCAGCTTGGTCTACTCCTCTCCTAGTTTCTCCTATGTTTAAAGAAATCTTTAGCCCTTTAGCCTCACTGAGGATGGTCTTCTTGGGCTTCCTGGGCTCCTCCACTGGCCTCCTTCAGGCTCTCTGCCCACATAGCTCCAGCGTCATTATAAAACATTCAATCCCCACAATTTCTGTATTGATCTCTTAGAATACATCCTTTTGGCTTCTTCGGGATAGCATATTGTATATTTACTGTGTGTACTTGCATGATAGAAATAATCTAGGCCTAGTTCTTTGGGGAGATGAAAAAGACTAAGACCCAGAACCACTCAAGATCCAGAGCAACTGTTTTTATTGGTTTTCTGGTTCTGGGGCTGCCTTACTTATAAGATCACTGGTTTGGTAGCTCAGTTGTTCCAGTGCCAGGATCATAATGCTTTGACTTTAATCTGTAGGAAACTGTGGCTGCCAGGCTTTCTGTTTCGCTCTTACGCCACACCCAGCTACTACCTGCAGACAAGGCCTTCTATGAAGCAGGCATTGCTGCCAAGGTGAGCTGGGACAAGGAAGGGTGTGGCCGAGGAGAGAGGGAAATCAAAAGTTGGAAGGTAGAGTATCTTGTCTGCTCAGGTAGAGCAAAGCTGAGTGTGAGGCTGATATTATGGAGGACATCATTTTCCTGTGTCTTCCTGTGTTCCTCCCGCTGCATCCCGGAAAAGCAGCATCCAAGCCCAGCTGTTCACTCCCACTTGCACCTTCTCTCGCTGCAGGCAGTTGGCTGGGAGAACATGGCATTCATCTTCCTCAACCGCTTTTTGGATCTGACTGATGTGAGTAGAGAAGTTGTGCCCGGAGGGTGGTTTTGCCTGTCACCAGCTGTGTCTATCTCATGGCTGCCCACTCTGCTGCAGGCAATTGAAGAAGGAACTCTGGATGCCCTTGACCACTCTGACTTTCAGGATACAGACATTCCCTTTGAGGTGCCACTTCCAGCCAAGCAGCATGTGCCGGTAAGGTGACGAGATTGAAGAATGGAAGGCCTCACCAGTGGGAGGCATTGTGAAAGGAGGACACTTCATGTTGGTCCTCCTAACCTTTGTTATGGGCATCAGCTGGCAACATCTTTGGAAGGGCCTCAGCCCTCAGTTTTCTGTCAGTGAAAGTAGAAGCAGAGAAAAAAAAAAGTGGTGACCATGAACCCCATCCAAGGAGGATCATGTATGGGTAAAAAAATAGATGATGCACAGGATGACGGTTTAGTAAGACTCCTAACTCACCACCTTCTGCATGCCCTGCCCTGTGTGAAGCTACTGCTCTTCTGTCTTTCCCAGGAGGCTCAGAGGGAAGAGGTTCGAGACTGGGTACTCACGGTCTCAATGGACCAGCGGCTGGAGCAGGTTCTACCTCGGGATGAGCGTGGTGCCTACGAAGCTTCCCTGGTGGCAGCGAGCACTGGAGTTCGGGCACTACCCTGCCTCATTACAGGTACAGAACCCTGTAGCCCCCCACATTCTGTGGTGGGTGGAAAGGGAAAATAGCAGGACCAAGAAAGTATTTGACTCTGAAATCGCTCTTGGTTTTCCCCCTCAAATGCCAGTTCATCTTTTTTTCTTCTCCCGCAGGGTACCCCATTCTGAGGAACAAAATTGAATTTAAGCGGCCAGGGAAGGCAGCCAACAAGGACAACTGGAATAAGTTCCTTATGGCTATCAAGGTTAGAGAGGGAGATGGGGATCCCTGGGTGGCTCAGCGGTTTGGCGCCTGCCTTCGGCCCAGGGCGCAATCCTGGAGTTCCGGGATCGAGTCCCACGTCGGGCTCCCAGCATGGAGCCTGCTTCTCCCTCCTCCTGTGTCTCTGCCTCTCTCTCTCTCTATGTCTATCATAAATAAGTAAATAAATAAATCTTAAAAAAAAAAAAAAAAGGTTAGAGAGGGAGAGCAGCACTGAAGGAAACCACAAAACCAAGAGAGGATGGGTGGGAGTGTCAAGAAGGCAGGTGCAGGCCCTGAACTCTGCTCTACCTTCTAAGATGGGGCTGATTTTCTTTAGAGAAGGAATGCTTTTCCTTAGCATTAATGTTCCTCTCTTGTTCTTCTGTTTGTCCACAGACTTCCCACAGCCCCGTGTGCCAAGATGTGCTGAAATTCATTAGTCAGTGGTGTGGAGGGCTACCCAGCACCAGTTTTTCCTTTCAGTAACTGGGAGGGCTCAGGGAGGAGTTACTGGATTCTCTCCCTCATTAAAGTCTTGTAGGTAATGGAGACCACTGTGTTCTTTGATCAAAGTCATCCCCAATATCAATCTGGTGCCCTTTTCCCAAAAGGAATCATAACCAAGTAGAAGGAAAGAGTTCTTTTATTACAGCTGTTTACGTCATCCTGGGGTTTATGTCACCGTTGTGAACTGAGCCTCTGGATTGGCACCTGCTCTGTTGAAGGGAGAACGGGGGTCAGAAGGCAAGCAGGACAGCAGAGGACCTGACCCGGTTCTAAGAGTGGTTCCCTGCCTCCACCCTCTCCCAGGCCCCACTCCTCATGGATTACCTGTCTTAAGCCCAGCTTTTCTGCGATGCCTGGATTTCCTGATTTTGATCCAGTAGCTGCTCATTTTCCTGCCTTGTACACTTAGGAAGGTCAAGGTCTGTCAGTTCTTCCAGCTGTCGGGATGGACGGAGTTACTACTCCTGCCCTGAATTCCAGTTCAGCACCTTTCCCACACAGCCAGTCATTGCTGAATGGACTTTCTTGTCCATCCTCCTTACCTGCTCCTGAAGCCCTTCCTTCCTGTAGGGCCCCACCCCACGGAGAGTGAGTGCAGCCACGCAGCAGTAACCAGACAGGGCAGCCTCCGCTGCAGACATGAACACAGAAGGGATCCAGAGAGCCAAGGCTGTATCCTGGGGCGAAGCAGGAAGGTGGGGAACTGAGAGGGAGCAGGGCAGGCATGTAGGGGAGGCTGACAGGCCAGGACCAAGACCTGTAGGCTGCAGAAAGGCTGAGAAGAGCACGCACTCACATAGATTCTCGTGGGGTCAAACGGGCAGTCAGCCCGCCCAGGCCCCTGGTCTAGCGGTAGCAAAGGATCCAGCAGTCCTGGATGGCAGTCAGCAATAAGACGACGGCCACCGTTGGCCACAGTGAGCGACACGGCAAGGAGGAGGCCCAGGGAGCAGGCGGCGGACAGGAGCAGGTTCATCAGCGCTACGGCCAGCAGGGCCCAGTGCTGACGGGCAGAAGATCAGGGTGAGCGGGCAGATCAGGGTGAGCGGCTGCGAGCGCCGCTGACTCTCCCACTGATAATATACTTTGGTTTCTCTATTTGAGGCTCCTCCTCCCACTTGAAGATGAAGCTGAGTCAGGTCATTTCCCTGACTCAAGGCCCCATTAAAGCTCCAGAAATCCCCTCTCACCAGTCGTGGGAGCAGAAGGTTCCTGGATGCCAAGAGGGCCACAAGTCCCACGGAAACACTCTGGAAGACACAAAGCCTGAAGGCTGCGCCGCTCTACGGCCCGCCGCCCCGCCGCCCCGCCCCCACGCCCGCGGCCCCGCCCCGCTCACCAGCAGCCCGGATCCCACGGAGATGACATTGGCCGTGGTGTACTCCGGGGTGACGGCGCCGCGGGGATTGGCTACGTGTCGCAGGACTGTGCCGTGCAGCACGGCCCCCAGGAGCAGGTTCACGTGGCCCACCAGGATGAGCGCGAGGCCCACGCGCATAAGCCGCCGGGGGCCGCTGGCCGCGTCTGCAAAGCACGGGGGAGAGGCAGGCCTGAGCCGGGAAAGGAACCGGAGGGCCCCCCTGGTGGCCACCCGAGTGAGCGGAGGGCTGTGGGACGGGTCCCCGGCGGACGCAGGGCAGCGAACCAGGGCCGGAAGTTACCGAAGGTGTAGAGGCCGCAGCACCTCATCGCGGCCCTCCGCGCCCAGCCGCAGGGCAGCTCTACCTGGCCTCGCGGCCCCGCCCTCGCTCTCCCGGCCAGTTCCGCCCGCTCCGCACCTGGAGGCCCAACCCCGCGCCCCGGGCGGGGCTCCCAGCCCGCTCCCTCTAGCGGGGAAGGCGCGCAAACACACACACACACACACGGGACGCTTTAGCAAAAAGTAGACTTTTATTACAGCAGCAACTGAGGCGAATCGAATGGCCCCCCAGGGCCACCACTGCAGCACCACCCTTCTCTCCCGCCCTGTCCGCCCCAGCGGGATTGTAGAATTCAGCTCCCCCAGTGCCCGTGGGCCTCCTTTCCACACAGGCTGGGCGGGAGCCGGCAGATCAGCTACTAGCCCCCAACTAGAAGGCGGCTGCTGAGAAGGCCCAGGCCCACGTCTGTGCAAAACAAGTAAACAAAGTGCAGAGGGGAGGAAGAGATGGGGAAGGGGAAGGTGATGCCCAGAACCAGGGAGCCCCAAAGCCCTCCTGAATAATAAAGGAGAGAAGGGGCTTCACAGGGTAATACTGACTGGGGGGGGAGAGGCAGGAAGGCTGCGGGCGCGTCTAGTGACGGCTGCAGCTCTGATTAGGGGCCTGGCCCGGGTGAGCTCTAAGAGGAGACGGTGACAGCGGCTGAGTTGAGGGTGCTGTTCCTGGCAAAATTGAACTTGTTCAGAGTCTCCTCTAGCAGAGAAGTCAGTCGGCTCTGGTCAGCCTGGAGGAGAAGAGCTGGGTGAGACAGGGCAAGAGGAGAATGCAGCAGCCAGGGCAGCTGAAGGCAGAAAAGCTCACCTCGCTAATGAAGCCCAGCTGCACCAGCTCAGCTGCCAACTCGGGGATGTTCTCATCTGACAGAGAAAAGGGAGACGGTGAGCACAGTGTGGGAGTCAGGAGCCCAGAGCCCTTCCAACAGCCCTGGTTGGGTTAGCCTCGCTGCGAAAGAACGAAACAAGCAAAACTGTAGGATCTCCCCTCCAGTTTTAGGAGCTAAGATATTCGTTCTTTGTGCGTCGATGTGCTGCTGCCTTGTAGCCTTCTTCCCCACCCCTAAGAATGTTCCTCACAGATAAGGCTCACGGGCTCTCATGCCCTGAGGGAAAGGAGAGACTCACTTGGCATCAGGTCACAGCTCAGGTGCCGGTTGAGTTTGTCTTCCAGCTTCAGAAGAAGTGTCAGCTGGAGAATAGGATGGTCAGAAAAAGGCTCCTCTTCTCCCCCCACCCCCAGCCACCTAGCCCCATGCAGCCCTTAGCCCTGAGCCTTACATGGTGTTTGACACCCTCCTCCACGGACTCAATGTTGCACTGCATCAGCACCACCTAGGGAGAGGGCACACAGAGGGTCATGACAGGAGACACTAGGCCATAAAAAGCCAACAGCTGGAATATTTTCCAGTCCACAGGAACATTCTTTTCTCTGAAGGACAAAGCCTTATTTGATGTGTCCTCTTCTCCCCAACACCATGACCAGAGACCTCCATCCCCGCAGAGCCCCACCTTGCGGGTCTCCACCTCAGCTGGTTCGGGTGTTGGAGTCTTGACAGAGGGGGGCACAACAGGTGATGTCACCTCCTCCTGCTGTGGCTGCTGGGGCCGAGGTAGCCCAAAGGCTGTCAAGGGGTAGATCCCATTCCTAGGGGGAGGTCAGACAGGTCACACAGGCTCTGTGAATGCCTTAGAACACCCACCCTGCTTCCTCCAGCAAGGCTTTCCTCTCGACCTTCTCTCACCTGACATCTTCAAGGAATTTATCCAATTCCAGAGCTGGTGACTGAGAGTACCTGCAGAAGAAAAGAGAGAAAGCACACAAAAAGGAAGGAAATAAACAAAACAGATTCAACAATTCCCAAAAAATGGACAGTTGACAGAACCTTCGATGGTAGTGACAAATCTGTCCCTTTCAGATCCTCTAAGTTAGTTACTCACAAAGTCTGAACTGGTTCTCTTCCTGGTCCTGCAGGGATTTCAGCCAGTACAGCACTGGTATCCATGTTTTTGGTGATCTCCTCCAGAGCATTCTCAGGGATCATGTCTAGAGGGCATGATAAGATGGGAAGTTACGGAGAGATAGATTAATGTCATGGAAAGCCCAGGAGTCCTGGGGGGTAAAGAACTCCTTTGGAAATGGAAGAGGGAAGAGAGCATGCCAGTGATAGTTATTAAGGCTCCAGATGGGAAGAAAATTCCTAGTAGGGCCAAGAAGACTCACGTTGGTGTCCCACAATGCAGTGGGCAGCAAGGAGTTTGAGCGAGGGCACTTCAAACAGTGCTGGGTGGAAAAGAAGTTCTCTGGCTGTTGGTCTGCGAGCAGGCTCAGAATGCAGGCACTTTTGAATGAACTCCTAGAAAAGGGAACAAGGAAGGAGAGTAGGCATCTGGCAACCAGGCCACCGCACTCATCGTGCTACTTCATCACTCATCATACCTAGCACAGGCCTACATACTAGGTGGTCAGCACCAGTTGAGGGAACAAACTGCTACATGTATCTGAAAGGGCTCTAAAGATGCTGAGGTATAATATGAAAGGTGCTGTTCACTGGTTTTCTGGTTTTAATGGTTTTTCTACTCTCCAACCATAAACTTTTTTTTTTCTATTCAAACTTACGAATTCTTTTTCCTGATTTTCTACTTCTCTGCTTTATAAGCCCACTCACTGCCTACCTTACGTTCCTCTCTTTCACCAAAGTTCACCTGTTTCCAAACCTATCTGTTGTGCTCAATAGTACTCACCATCTTTTTATTTCTCAAGCCTACTACCACAATTTCCTTTGTCTCCTACAATCATTTATTAAATTTACTGGCTTTCCCCAAGCTTCCTCTACACATACAGCCTACCCTTCCCACTTCCTGTAGGCCATAACCGGGCTTTTCTTTTCCTCCTTACAAACTCAAAGGCCAAGGTCATATGCCTAATCTGTCACTTGAATGCTCCAACCTAACACATTGAACCAGAAATTTACTCCACACTAACCTAGCTGTAACAACTACCTAATGAGTTACAAACTATCCTTGTTCAGACCTTCCTGTCCAGCCTTTTTTTTTTTTTTTTTTTATGATAGTCACAGAGAGAGAGAGAGAGAGAGAGAGAGAGGCAGAGACACAGGCAGAGGGAGAAGCAGGCTCCATGCACCGGGAGCCCGATGTGGGATTCGATCCCGAGTCTCCAGGATCGCGCCCTGGGCCAAAGGCAGGCGCCAAACCGCTGCGCCACCCAGGGATCCCTGTCCAGCCTTTACTTAACTATAATCTACCTACTGATTCATAAAGCTACATCCTTTAAATCTTAGTTTGTTATTTCAGGGCACTTTTCCCACCTAAAACATACATACATACAACATACATACACACACACACACAAACACACGCATACGAAACCCTAAATGATGGATTTAATTCAAACTCATCAATTTGTTTAACAATATCAAGATGGGGGCAGCCCGGGTGGCTCAGCGGTTTAGCGCCGCCTTCAGCCCAGGGTGTGATCCTGGAAACCCAGGATCGAGTCCCACGTCAGGCTCCCTGCATGGAGCCTGCTTCTCCCTCTGCCTGTGTCTCTGACTCTCTCTGCCTCTCATGAGTAAATTAATAAAATCTTTTAAAAAATAAATAAATAAATAAAATAAAAATATCAAGATGGTTGTCTGATAGCATATACCAATTACCTTGAGGTAACCATTAAATTATTTACCTTGACACAGATACACCTATATTAATATACAACCTTTACCCTCAATACTACCCATCTTAAACCCTTAACCTGTGTGTGTAAAAAAAACAAGGTAGGCACCACCTAGGAAAATATTTAAATATTCACTGCTTTTGCCTGTCCTTTCTGCTTTCTGTTCTCTGGCTCTTAGAAGACAGCATATTCCAAGTAAAAAGGAAGAAAAACCTCAAGACATTTCAAACTCTGCTTATGGAGTGACCCAAAAGATTATTACCCTCTGTAATGGGTCTTCTAGAAGCTGGATGGCACTGCTGATAGCTTCCTGTGGCACATATGAGGACTCTCCATTGCCCTGAATCTCCAGCACTGCCATCTGCAGTGAGAGGGAACAGAAAAGACTTCAGAATTTCAGTGCTCCAGAATCACTCCCTCAAGACCTTAGTTGGCCTCCCCTCCCATCTTATAATCTGATCCCTTTCCATCACCACTGCTTGTGGTTTCCTCACCTCCAGTGCACACATGCCAAAGGAGTAGATGTCTACTGCTGTTGTCACATTAGTGACCTCTAGGGAAAACAGAGAAACCTTTGGTGAATCAGAGGATAGGGGCAGAGGGTGGCAGAAATGCCTTTTAAAAACTTTATGTATGCCAGCAGAAACTAGAAGTTTCAGTTCTATTACCTCTGGGCCTCAGGTTATAAGGTGGAAACCTGGGGAACAGAGAGGGCAGAGAAACTGAGGTGCCTCACCTCCATACTCCGGTGCAAAGAAGTGTAGGTTCTTCTGCTCTTCCCGACAAGTCTTCACATGATTGTTGATAGTGTCAGGAGCCACTGGGAGTAGGGGAGATACCCACAATCTGACCACCATCAACAAAGCATAGTCTCACTCCAGAGAGAGGTTCCCCAAAAGCCAAATTCTCTCCTGAAGACTCTTAACACTGAAAGTGCAAACCTGTCCTCTTCTTATCTTGAACCACAAACTAAACATGAACACCACCTACTTCCCCTTTCTTGGGTCTAGCGCTTCTCACTTAAGGTCCCTAACTCAGTAACAACAAACATACCACACTAAACTAACAGGAATATGGGAGCCTTGGGCTGGCCAAGCAGCAATGGAGGCTAAGGAAAACCTTCCCCCAAACTCAAGAATAACTAATCCCTGTCACATGAAAATGTTTGGTCTAGTTCTTTCAGACACCTGCAAATTAGCATAAAAACGTAGGCAGCCCTTCCTAACCTGGGACAATTTAAAGATCTCAGAAACTTGGATAAAAAAGAGTAAGAAGGATTAACAATACAATTAACTAGACAGCCTCCTTCTCACCCAACTTTGCTGACTGAAACTCAAAACAGCTCAAAGCTGAACCAACACCCTTGAATCATTCTCATGTTTAATCCACCAAAATGTGAAACT